AGACTGAGGAACGTGTGGAGGAAACTGGAGACTGAGGAACGTGGAGGAGACTGAACACTGAGGAACGTGGAGGAGACTGAATACTAAGGAACGTGGAGGAGACTGAAGACCGAGGAACGTGGAGGAGACTAAGACTGAGGAACGTGTGGAGGAGACTGAAGACCGAGGAACGTGAGGAGACTGAAGACTGAGGAACGTGTGGAGGAGACTGAAGACTGAGGAACGTGTGGAGGAAACTGGTGACTGAGGAACGTGTGGAGGAGACTGAACACTGAGGAACGTGTGGAGGAGACTGAATTACTAGGAACGTGGAGGAGACTGAAGACCGAGGAACGTGAGATTGAAGACTGAGGAACGTGGAGGAGACTGAAGACTGAGGAACATGTGGAGGAGACTGAAGACTGAGGAACGTGTGGAGGAGACTGAACACTAAGGAACGTGTGGAGGAGACTGAAGACTGAGGAACGTGTGGAGGAGACTGAAGACTGAGGAAAGTGGAGGAGACTGAAGACTGAAAGGGTAGGAGACTGAATACTGAGAGGGAAGGAGATTGAAGACTGAGGAACGTGTGGAGGAGACTGATGGCTGAGGAACGTGTGAGAGACGTGTCCAAGAAGTTGATCTTTGACCTTAGAGAATAACACTCGGCAACAAATAAAAAAATATCCGTAACATGGTTCAGAACGGTTTCCTTACGGTAATTTTGAGGTGCTGATTTCAAGTTTGGCAATACAAATTCTCTGGCACGAACAGTTTATTTGTTATATAAAAATAAAATCTTACAAATACAAAACTGACAAATAATATTTTTCCTGTTATTTTTTCCCACGACATCACTAAAATTCAATAACGAATCAAAACAATCATAAGACGACACAAAAAGTATTCATTAGCCACTGTATGGGCAGTTGTTATTTTATTTCATCCTCTTTATGTGTTGTATTGTCCTCCGAGTGTAAACACCACCAATAGTCCCCCATCATGGCAGGATCCCATCTACCCTGACACCTTTCCTCCATACGTCTTATGTCCTGTTGAAATCGCTCTCCCTGTTCATCACTAACCGCCCCCAGATTCTTAGGAAAAAAGTTCAAGTGCGAGTGTAGGAGGTGGACTTTCAGGGACATTCTGCACCCTAAGTTTTTGTAATTTTTTAAGAGTTCCTCTACAAGTTGGCAATAGGTTTTTTTCCTTCTTGTTCCAAGAAACACCTTGACTACAGATGTGAAGCATTTCCATGCAGCTGCTCATTTTCATTCAGTTTGTTTTCAAAGTCGTCATCACGAAGCAACTTTCTTATCTGTGGGTCAACAAAGATACCCTCTTTGACTTTAGCATGACTGAGCTGTGGGAACTTTCCCCTCAGGTACACGAACCCATCACCTTGTTTATCCACAGCCTTCACAAAATTCTTCATTAGTCCCAGCTTGATGTGTAAAGGAGGTAGAAGTACATCGGTTGGGTCTACCAAGGGAGTATATTTAACGTTGCTTTATCCTGGAACAAACTCTTCTCTCTTAGGTCAGTCTTTTGTGTTGTAGTGTTTTTCTGTTGCTCTGCTGTTCCATAAACACATAAAACAGCAATATTTCGCTAACCCTCCTTGAAGGCCCAGTAGAAGGGCTGTAACCTTCAAATCGCCGCAGATCTGCCATCTATACTCCTTGTATTTAATAGCGGTCAGTATTTTCTCCATACTATCATACGTTTCCTTCAAACCTACAGAATGCTCTACTGGAACTGAGGGCTTCTGGTTCCCATTATGCAACAATACTGCTTTCAAACTAAACTTGGGGGAATGTATGAAAAGTCGCCATTCCTCTAGGTCAAGTTTTTCTCCCAACTCTGACATCAGTCCATCTACATCAGTACAGAGGGAATCCTGCATACTGTTCAATGAAGATAATGTAATATTGCTTTGCCTAAAAACAGAAATTCTTGTCTTTTTCGCTAGCAAGTTCCATTTCTGTAGTCTTGATGCTAAAAGTCCCGCCTGCTGTTGTGACAGACGGGGATCACGTACAAGATGATTAAGTTCACTTTGTTCTCTAAGATGTGGTTCATTGGAAGTCTGGTCAACGAAAGGAGGATCATGGGATGATTCTGGGATTTCTTCCTCAATTTCCTCATCCAAAGTTGAGAGCTCTTCCAAATTAGCCGATGGTGTAGGTATAGGGAGGCCTTCACCTTGCATTTAATATATCCCCACCAACACAAGTACGTATTATATTCCTACACTACATATACCCTGTACACATATATCATAAAAATGTTACGTTACTGACTTTTTTATTGCAATATTTGACATCAGCCCAAAATTAATAAAGTGCAGCATATTTGATCCATGTTACCGAACCCTGGTCAACTAGTGTAATTAAAGGAAGCAAATGTCTGATGATTATATAGAAAAGTATGATCCACTAAAGTAATCCTTTGATAGATTATTTTACCCATTATGACAAGTCTTCTTTAAACTCATCAATAATTATATAACTAAGCGTAAAATCTCGTGACAGATTATAAGTATTCAGTAAATTATTCGTAAATTATTCTCTCAGTTTGTTTTTCTTGTAGATAATTCCTAATAATCTGACCCTTAGACGATGCTATAATACGTGACAATAAATAACGAGAGTGATATAATTCCGTGTTACTCTCCGGTGTAAATTATGGTTTGGTAACAAGACACGTGACAAATAGTGGAGGTTATAGTGTCAGAAGTAGTATATACTGTAGGTGTTAAGATATAGTGATACATGTGTAGTGTGATGATACGTATAATGATAATACATACATACATACATACATACATACATACATACATACATACATACATACATACATACATACATACTCTTATTCAGGATAGGTGATGTAATATATACAGTTAACACAATTCATTTATATATTAATTCCATACACCCTCTCTCACCACCCTTCATTTACACCATACTCAATACCGCACTATACTCTGTCATTGTACGTGCCACCATACATACACCATAACCATTAGTGACGCTATACCTACTAAACCACATCATAACAACACACCATAACCTATATACCACTTCACAACACCACACACAGTATAACCACACCATACACACACTATCACCACATCATAACTACCTCTCAACACCACACCTGTCACTACACCATAACCAACTCCTCACCACACACTATCACGGTCACCACACATAACCACCTCCTCACACTATCACGGTCACCACCATAACCACCTCCTCACACCACACACTATCACGGTCACCACACCATAACCGCCTCTCACACCACACACTATCACGGTCACACACCATACCTCCTCACCACACACTATCACGGTCACCACACCATAACCACCTCCCCACACTATCACGGTCACCACACCATAACCACCTCTCACACCCACACTATCACGGTCACCACCATAACCACCTCCTCACACACACACTATCACGGTCACCACACCATAACCACCTCCTCACACCACACACTATCACGGTCACACACCATAATGACCTTACACCACATACTATCACCAAACCATAACCGAACATCACATAACACCATACAATTCCTAGACACCATCACTCCTACATATCAAGCGCCACAAACAACAAGCTACTAAACAAACACCATTATAACCACTACAGCACAAACACCACATTACAAACACCACATAATCACCTCCCACAACCACACATACACCTTAGATACAAAGCCTCATCACAACACAAACACTAACACACTAACACCACCACTAATACACAAACACCGCCACCACACAACCACCATTAACACACAAACACCATCATCATACAACCACCACCACTACCACACAATCACCACCACTACCACAACCACCACCACTACCACAAAACCACTACACACCACCACTCCACACAACAACCATTACCATAACCACCACCACTAAGACACAACCACCACCACTACACACAACCATCACCACACACACAACCATCACCATTACCACACAACCACCACCACTACCACACAACCACCATTACCACATAACCACCACCACTACCACAACCACCACCACTACCACAAAACCACTACCAACCACCACCACTCCCACACAACAACCATTACCACATGACCACCACCACTAAGACACAACCACCATTACCACACAACTACCATTACACCACCACCACTTCCACACAACCACCACCACTACCACCCAACCACCATTACCACACAACCACCACCACTAGACACAACCACCACCACTACACACAACCACCATTACCACACAACCACCACTACCCACACCATTACCACACAACCACCCACTTCCACACAACCACCACACTCACACAACAACCATTACCACATACACCACCACTAAGACACAACCACCACCACTACCACACAACCATCACCACTACCACACAACCATCACCACTACCACAACCACCCACCACTGCCACACAACCATCACCACACCACACAACCACCATTACCACCCACCACTTCACAACCACCACCACCCACACACAACCACCACCACTACCACAACCATCACCACTACCACACAACCACCACCACTCCCACACAACCACCACTACTACACAAAACCATTACCACACAACCACCACCACCACCACCACCACCACACAACCACTACTACCACACAACCACCACCACTTCCACTCAACCACCACAACCACACAACCACCACCACTTCCACTCAACCACCACTACCACACAGCCACCACCATTACCACACAACCACCACACACCACACAACCACCAGTGCTACACAAAAACATTACCACACAACCACCACCACTTCCACACAACCACCATTACCACACAACCACCACTACACAAAAACCATTACCACACAGCCACCACCACTTCCACAAACCACCACCACACTACCACACAACCACCACCCTTCACACAACCACCACTACCAGTCTCTGTCATTCAGGCAGTTAATTTACCAACATGACTTTGTGTTTAAATCGGAGAGGCGGTGTTTGAGTTAGTGGCTGCTGTTGACAGTCTGGGGCAGAGGAAACCAGTCCTGGACACAATCTATCCAGACATAACTCACCCTTGGATACAATCTGTCGGACATAACTCACCGTTGGATACAATCTTTGCGGACACAATTTATCAAGATGTACTTACTCTTGCGTAATCTATCTTGACATAACCTCCTGGACACAATCTATTTGGATATAACATCCTCCTGGACATAATCTCTCTGGACACAAATCCTAAATAAGGAATCTCTGGAGAAATGTACGGACAAAATTCCCCCTCGAACAAAATTTTCCCTTGTACACAAAAAATCCTTGGACACAATCCCTTGGACAAAATTACATGGACAAAAAAGGGTGGATGTATATATTGTTTTTAGTTGAGAGAGAGAGAGAGAGAGACATATCAACATAGTGCGTCTCACACCTCGACGACACGAAAACTCACCCTGGCTTTGAGATCGACTTCCTTGACGATTAATTGCTATTTCGAGCAGTAACCAGTCGCTACGGCACCATAACCAAACTCTTCCATTTCGATGTTTGACTCTTAAAGCAACTCTCTCGTGATGTGATTGGTTCAGCTCTTTGATAGTTGTTGTGTCATGTCTTTGATTTGTGATTAGAATGTCCGTTCCGTGTCAGGTTAAATTTGGTGTGTTTGGTTAGGTTGGGTTAAGTTTGGTTAAGTTAAGCTAAGATTGGTTTGGTTAGGTTTGGCTTGGTTGGAGTTAGAGTTAGGTTAGGTTAGGTTTGGTTTAGTTAGGTAACTTTGCTGTGTTGGTTCTTTACAGTGAAGTATAATCGACCTCTCTATCGTTCGTTCCAACTTTTTCTTCTCCTATAATTAATCTTCTGATGAGAAAATGTTTGGGTAGCCATTCTCATTAACTTCATCCCTTGCCCTTGAACAACGATGTACAGACATAATAAAGGATATTCTGGCGTTCCTGTTGGATCATCGTCACCAAAGGTCCAACCACATTACCTCAGGAGCTGACGGTAGTGTGCCACCGAGAACTAAGGAAGTTTAAGAATGAACACACACACAAAATAAAGATTGGAGGACATTACTGTATATGAGGCTGATAAGGTTGTAATTATTTATTTGAGAAATGGAAAGACTGCAGTGAGGCATTCTGGGGTTAAGTGAAATAATACGGACAGGTTACAAATAGCGAGGAGATGGAAGATAACAGAAGGTATAGTTATAAGGAAATGTACAGAAAGATTAAACAAATGAACCAGAAAAAAAGAAAAGAAATAGATTGGGATTATTAAAAGCAACGACAATAAGAAAGATGGTCAGAATACTTAGAAGAACTATACAATGATAAGGATAAAGTTGAGGTAAGAAATGAATATAAAATAAAGATCGAAATGCCAATTCTGGAAACAAAATTGAGGCAGCTGTTAAAATGAAAATAGATAAAGCTTGTGGAGTTGATCAGAAATTTTTCAAATAAATGGACAAGAAAGAGTTTAAATGTTTGACTAAAATGTGTAAGTCTATATACTTCAAATGAGACCTACCCAGTGATTTAGAGTGCACCTAGTTTAGAACAATTAGTTTAATAGTCATCCATACAAGGTTTGACAATTTTGAGTGAAAGGTTTTAGAGGTTCAAATAAATTGATTTATCTTCCATCAATCACCACAGTAGCCGCCAACAACCACAACAACCACCACCAACCACCCACCAACAAACACGACAAACACAATACACAACCACCAATCACCACAACAACCATCAATCCCACAGTAGCCAACAACCACAACAACCACCACCAACCACCAACCACCAACAAACACGACAAACACAATACACCACCATCACCACAACAACCATCAATCACCACAGTAGCCACAATAAACAACAACCAACCAACCACACAACCACCAACAAACACGACAAACACAACACACAACCATCAATCACCACAGCAGCTACCAACAAGCACAACAACCACCAATAACCACAATAGCCACCAACAACCACAATAGTCACCAAAAACTATATCAAACATTAACAACCACAACAACCACCAACAGTCACACCGACCACTAACAACAACACCAACCACCAACAATAACAACAAACATAATAACCACAAAATCACAACAATCATCAATAACCACCAGCAGCCACAGCAAGCACAACAGTCACCAACAACCAAAACAGCCACCAACAATCACAAAATCATACTAACAACCACAGCAGCCACCAATAACCATGACAGCCACCAACAACCACAAAACCCCAAAACCAACCACAGCAGCCACCATTAACCACAACAGCCATCAACACTCACAACAACCACACCAACAACCACATTAGGCGCCAAACACCAACCACAACCTAAAATAACCATCAATAGGTTATTATGACCATCAAAGCGCGGAGCTCTTGGCCAATCAAGCTGGCAGAAGCGTGGTTGTTAGAGCGAGACACCGTAATGAACGAGCACAATAACCGAGACAATATCAAACAAGAGGGAGGTAGGGAGGGAGGGAGAGGAGGAGGAAGGAGGGAGGAGGAGGAGGGTAGGAAAGGGGGAGATAGTGAAGAAGGAAATGGTGGATAAATTGGTAACGCTCTGAAGTTGTGAATCTACGAGACGTGTGTTCGATCCCCGGCCAGGTCAGAGACGGTAAGTATTATTGTGTCGGGTCTTCTATCACGTTGCTTTACTATCACCAAACTGTGCACCTGTGTATGTGTGTATGTGTGTGTGTGTGTGTGTGTGTGTGTGTGTGTGTGTGTGTGTGTTAGTATCATGCTCTATAAACTAAGCCATATTATAATACTCCATCTCACGTTATCATGTAGTCAGAAGTCGTCTTAGTATCATCAAATAAATTCCATTATCATCAGAACCTCCTCTGAGTGTTATCTTCCTGTCAGAACCAGAACCCGGGTGCTGGGCGGTCCTGACCTCTACATCAATTCGGGCTCCACCATCAACCTCACCTGTGTCGTCAACCACAGTCCAGAGCCGCCACCCTACATCTTCTGGTACCACGAGAGTGAGGTGAGTCACATCAGCTGCAACACCTGTCATTCTGGGTAGAGGAGAGGGAGTCATTTGTAAAGAGGTCAGAGATTACCTGGGAGAGGTGAGAGTCAGCAACAGTCACCGTGAGAGAGGTGAGAGTCAGCAAGTCACCGGGAGAGAGGTGAGAGTCAGCAACAGTCACCGAGAGTGAGGTGTGGGGGGTGGTGGAGGGTGAGAGTCAGCAACAGTCACCATGAGAGAGGTGAGAGTCAGCAACAGTCACCGTGAGGAGGTGAGTCATCGAATTTGAGAAAGTCAGTGTGAGTCACGTGAGAGTTTTTAAGTCTCACAAAGGCTCAATTATGTTACAGTAACTTTTTAAGTGTTATTGTTCATTAGTTCTGTTGTGTCGTAAATGTTGGAGTTTGACCTACCTTGACCTAAGAAGATGAGCTTTGACCTTTCTTGACCTACTTTAACTTACCATGACCTCCCATGACTTTTAGACCTAGTTTGACCTATTTTAACATTCCATGACCTTCTTAGACCTACTTTGACCTACACAAACCTCCCATGACTTTCTTAGACCTAGTTTGACCTACCTCAATCTTCAATGACCTTCTTAAGACCAACTTTGACCTACCTTAACTTTCAATGACTTTCTTAGAACCAATTTCGCTTACCTCAACCTCCACTGACATTCTGAGACCTAGTTTAACCTACTTCAAACTCCCATGACCTTGTTAGACCTATTTTGACCTACCTTAACCTTCACCGATCTTCATAGACCTTCAGTGGCCTAACTTAGCCTTATCTCCCTGCCCCAGCTGCTATCATATGACTCTCCCTGGGGCGGCATCACGGTGGTCACAGAACACGGGCCCACCTCCTCCTCCAGGCTCCTCATACAGCGAGCTACCGTCACTGATGCCGGAAGATACACCTGTAGACCAGCCAACGCCGACCCTCACCACATTATGGTTCATATTATACCTAGTAAGTTACTACTTGTGTATCACTATTATTTACGTGTTATACCGAGTGAGTTGAGAGAGAGGTGTGTCTGATTACGTAATAGCCACAACATTCTGTCAGTAACACTTTCTTTATCTCCGGCCAGACGAGCACCCGGCAGCCATCCACCACAAGAACGGTACCTCCGTGGGCGTTACCTACACAACCACGCCCACACCTGCCCCCTCCCTCGCCCTCCCGCCCTCCTCGCCCTCCTCTTCCTCTTCACCCTAACTATTTACCTTCCAACCCCTCATCCTCCGAGAAGGCTGGGAGGAATGAGGCGTCCAGCCAACACACCAACACTCATGGACCAACAAACAATCACGGCCAGGCCCAAGGACAGGACGACCACCTCGGCCACGCCCTGGCAGGAACTACACCCCAGTAGTATCCTATAACAAGGAAAACACCAGCGGTATCCTACGCTAACGATCACACTGTAGAGGTATCCTACGCTAAGAAACAGATTCTTGAATTATCCTGCACAAGGACCACACCTAGAGGTATCCTATGCTAAGGACCAGATACTTGAAGTATCCTGTACAAAGGACCACACCCAAGAGGTATCCTATGCTAAGACCAGAACCTGAAGTATCCTGCACAAAGGACCACACCCAAGAGGTATCCTATGTAAGGACCAGAACCCTGAAGTATCCTGCAAAAGGACCACACCCTAGAGGTAACCTCCATTAAGGACCAGATCCTGAAGTATCCTGCGTTAAAGACCACACCCCAGATGTATCCAACACTGAGAGGAAGGGGCAGAAGGTCCTACAGTACCTGGTCCTAGAAGCTGAGAGGAAATGAACAGGTGTGGGTGAACCATATAACGTATTCATGTAAGACTTTAATGTGCCTTCCATTTTCCTAAACTTGTAATAGAGACAACATCCCCAACTGTCTTCAATAAAGTTGTGGATGAGCTCAAATGTGTATGATATAGAGATACTGTGCTTATTTTTCTTTATAAGGTGTAAACATAAGTCGATTTTGTTAGACCTGAACCAAGTTTAAAACCTCGAATATAGAAAGTGTTTTTAATGTAATCTGCCCACAATCCCTCCCCAATTCTCCTCTCCCCCACCTCCCTCCCCACCCCTCCCCAATTCTCCCTCCCCCTACTGTTATTATCTGTGTCAACCTTCCCCGCCACTACTCTCCAGGCGACAGGGAAAATAATACACTTGCCAGAAACGCAAGTGTAGGCAGCAGGTGAGCGAACATTTTATTGCTGTCGCTTCCATAAACGTGTCATTGTTAGAAACGGAAGAAAAACCCAGGCGCCGTCTAGCCTACTGCTCGTGCTGGCGATGTTTTGTGGTCAAGGATATATATAGACAGACTATATTTTATACACGAGGAAGGACAGTGGCGAATACTGTATATATATTGTGAGGTGATGAACAGACGCTGACCTATGTCTCATGTTCACCTCCTTCTTCCTGAGCTGGGTCACTTGATGATGAACCTATGACCTATGTTGTTGACCCGACAGGTAATGGTGCACCTGTTTTCTGTGTTGGTGACCCGATAGGTAATTGTGCACCTGTGATCTATATTGGTGACTCGACAGATAATGGTGCACCTGTGACCAGTACTGGTAACCCGACAGGTAATGGTGCATCTGTGTTTTATATTGATGACCCGACAGATAATGGTGCACCTGTGACCTCTGTTAGTGACCCGAGAGGCAAGAAAACCCTACCGTGACCTGTGTTAGTGACCTGGATGATAGGTATCGCTAAACCCACACAAAGAATGAAAATTTAACCGGAGACCAGGTCATGTTTGTACCTGTGTGAGACCTAAGATCCCTCTCTCTAGGTCATGTAGTACCTGTCCGAGACCTGTAAGACCCCTCTAGGTTCTATGCGAGACCTGTAGACCCCTCTCCAGGTCATGTAAGTACCTGTCCGAGACCTGTAAGACCCCTCTCCAGGTCACCACTATGTCTCAGACACACAAATTGTAATGTTGTTGTTCGTATATAATAAACATGGATGTGACTGAAACCATTTTTGTTTATTTATTCCAAATCTTTTTCTAAGGTATTTATATAATCTAAGTTTACCGTGTGTGTATATATATGTAATGAGACTGACAGGTAAAGTTCCAGGTAGGATAATTAACAATGTGATGTATAATAAGCAAACATTAAGGAAAAAATAAGAACATTATATAAACACAAATAAAAAACATACAGAAGAAAATACAAAGAGACAACAAAACACAACATACATTAAACAAACACAACAAACACTTAACAAACAAACAACACAACAAACACTAAACACCACAAACACTTAACAAACAAAACGAGCACTAAACAAAAACAACATCCACTAAACAAACACAACATCCACTAAACAAATACACAACATACACTAAACAAACATAAAAATCACTAAACAAAACACAAAATCCACTTCACAAACACACATCATACACTTAAACACAAAATCCATTCCACAAAAAAAAAAAACAATTACAACAACAAACAACAAAACAAAGACACACAAGAAGTAACAGAATATCAACAAATACATGGAACAAATACACAGTGTATATGTCAATAAAAATATAACCTGTTCCTGTGTACAGTGATTAACTAAATGGAATTGACTTAATCTATTTGATAGGATATTTTCAAGTGTTCAGGAGGTTTGAGGTCAATAGTGTATGATGCCATAGGAGAGAGATAGCCCCAACTTTCGCTATGCGGTCATTTGGGAAGATGTTCAATAAACTGTAAGTGTTTGTTGTGGTACTCGAGAGACTAGCCTATACGGGGGGTTAAGGGGGGAAGGGGTTAAGGGGGAAGAGGGGAGTTAGGGGCTGGAGGATAGAGCCACCCGTGTATCACGATGCTTTAGGAGACTGACTTAGCTCCCAGTCGTAAGAGGCTTAGGCAGCGTGTGTGTGTGTGTGTGTTAGTATGTAAATGTGTTTGTGTATGTACTTTAGTATGCATGTGTGTGCGTGTGTGTGTGTGTGTGTGTTAGTATGTATGTGTGTGCGTGTGTGTGTGAGTGTAATAATAATAATAATAATAATAATAATAATAATAATAATAATAATAATAATAATAATAATAATAAAAAGTTTATTAATAGAGTTGCAGCCGGTGGCTGAAAATATACAGACTTACATTTGATTTAGACATAATGATATAATTTGCAATGAATACATTTACAGGGCTGTACAGTACATAAATCAGGAGTTGTTTATTATTTTAACAATAGATGGGATGGTGCTGTTCTTATATCTATCGTGCGTGCGGCTCTTATGGGCTGAATTTTGTTGTAGTGGAGGACTGCGCGAATTGGGTTGGGGCTGCAGGCAGGAGGTGGCGATGACGAGGGTGGTGCAGTAGTCCACTGCCAAACCTTCCAGTGCTTTGTGGTGGAGGTCACTGAGGGTGAGAGAACGTTGGTGTAGCCGGAGTATTCTGCGCCGAGCATGATTCTGCAGGCCCTTTTCTGTACCTTCTCTAGCTGACGTTGTTGGGTGGAGTTGAGAGAGACGACCAGGCTGGTGACGCATACGTTAGTTTGGGGAGAATAAAGGCGTTGTAGATGGTCCTCAGCTCTGGCGTGGGTGTCCCAAGTGACCTAAGTCGTCGTAGCATGTAGAGACGGTACGAGGCTGCCATGACTGTGTTATTTACATGGGCCTTCCAGTCAAGTTTGTTGTCTATAATTACACCCAGGAGTTTGGCAGACTGCACCAGCTGGAGAGGATGGGCACCCACTGTGACTGCTGGGGCTTGCACTGGAGCGGTGGCGGTATTGATGTGCATACTACGGTTTGGTGTTGTTGATGGTGACCTTGTTCTCCGTAGTCCATGCCTGTAGCCTGTCCAGGGTGCCTTGTAGCGATGAGTAGTCTGGTGCGGTGTTGTCCACTGAAACCCCACAGTGCAGTCATCCACGTACTTCCACCTGTGAGGAGTGTCCGATAGAGCGTCGTTGATCAGCATGAGGAAGCACAGTGGTCCCATCTTGGTCCCCTGGGAACACCGCAGGTGAGGTGTTGGAATGTGGAGACCAAGTCCTGATACTCACTGCCTGGCGACGTCCACCAAGAAATCAGTGAGCCATGAGACCAGGTTGGTGGGCAGTCCTAGGGCAATAGCCTTGTTGATAACAGTGCAGTGATCAACAAGGTCAAAGGGCTTCCTGAAGTCCACAAGGCAACGGCCAGTGATGTCTTACGTTTCTGCAAGTTTTTGTGCAGAAAATCCAGAAAGCTCACCAAGCAGTGTGATGTAGAGGAGGTCCTCATATTGCCAAATTGCTGTGGATCAATTGACTGATAGATACTGGCAAATGCCCACTCAAAACAAAAGTCCTCACAAAGTAGATTGGGTATGGGGATAATGACAACTGGCCTGTGTGTGTGTGTGTGCGTGTGTCCGTGTGTGTGTGTGTGTGTGTGTGTGTGTGTGTGTGTGTGTGTGTGTGTGTGTGTGTGTGTGTGCGGGTGTGAATAGAAAGTGAGAAATATAATTATAAATGCATAGTGACATTTTTCAGTTCCTTATAAACATTATTTTATCTATCGATTCATCTATCAGGTTTTTTATCTATCTACCAATAGATTAACTTTAAATCAATCTATCTATGATATACTTATCTATCTACTTATCATTCAATTTATCTATCTGTCTATCCATAAATCTATTTACTCATATACCAATTGTTCCATCTATCTATCTATCTATCTATCTATCTATCTATCTTGAAATATATCGGTCACTCCGTACTCACTTTGTCCTCCAGTTAAAGGTATATTAAATATATCGGTACACCTCTGGCTGTATATTGGGGGAATAGTCACAGTTCACGATAACACTTTTACTTGGTATTTATTTTGAATATATTGACTGGAGGTCTCTCTCTCTCTCTCTTTCTCTCTTTCTTTCTCTTTAGCTTCTCTCTCTCTCTCTCTCTTCTCTCTCTCTCTCTCTCTCTCTCTCTTTCTTTCTTTTAGCTTCTCTCTCTTTCTTTTCAGCTTTCTTTCTCGTACAGTGCATGTAGAGACAGAAAACACAAATAAAACAGACAGACAGACAGACAGACAGACAGACAGACAGACAGACAGACAGACAGACAGACAGACAGACAGACAGACAGACAATACAGACAGACAGACAGACAGTAGTGTTCACTGTGTGTATCAATAAATGAAATAGCTTAGCCTTAAGTTAAAAATAAATAAATTATATCTGCAGTTGTCTATTTCACCACCAATAAACACTATTTAGTCCATCACGGAACATAGAGTCAAAGAACAACACAATCAATAAACATTAATATTTGAACACACATTTATAAAGTCGTTGCCAAGTGATCCATCTCTGAAATTATAACATTTGATAGATATTATGATGGATGCAAGAGATAGATAGATAGATAGATAGATAGATATTCTGTAAAGTCGTCATACAAGTTTACAATACATTAATTAAACTATGAGGTAGTACAGCCTCCTTCACCGTCTGTGTCGAGGTTCTACGTGATGGTCGACTTACTGGAGATCAACATATTGGAGTAATCCTTACCATCATGTATCACTGGTGGCTCAGTAGAGGAACAACAGCAACTATACAAGGGTACTGAACAGGGGAAGGGAGGTGGAAAAGTCCCTGCAAAAACAATCAATAAGGTATATATCTATAGTGTTTATTGTTGTAAGTGCACAGGACTTCTCGATCACGCCGTATGTCTCTTCTGGAGGATAAGGCGGTTAAAAAGATTGTTTTCCAGGTTACGAGACGAGGAACTTAAAGAAGTGTCGCATTTGTTTCGATACAATCGGAATCAAAGTTACTGTGAATTGATATTGGTGTGTGTTGGCACGCCAGATGAACGACAACTCTGAAGCAAACGTCGAGAGTTTACCGTTGATTGAGTGATCCTGAGCTAGACAACAAGCCTGTCTATATCAATAGTGATTGTCAGGAAATGTTCACGAATAAAAGAGTGAGTGATGGTCTATCTTCATACTTAACCTAACCTAAATTGACCTGACCTAACAAGACACATACACAAATTATATATATATATATATATATATATATATATATATATATATATATATATATATATATATATATATATATATATATATATATATATATATATATATATATAAATCAAATGAAATGAAACAACGGAAAGGCTTAGTTTCGTCTTTTCAAGACATCTTCAGAGGCAACTGTCTCTGAAGATGTTGAATAAAGACAAAGCTATCCATTCTATTTATCAAGATTATCTTATCCAGTTTTCACAACCTGTTTAATAAGAAAATTACCTTAAAAGTTCAAACTTACTATTTAGTTACAAAGTATAACTAAAGCTGATGACGGAACTTTATAAAAAATATATACAACAGAAGAAATAAAAACTAAGTAATAATAAATGAACATTAAATCCTAACCATCACACTTTAATATATAATCACTACATCCTAAACATCCCATATAAAATATAAAACTCTGGGGTCTGGAGCAATAAGTGTACACTAACACTCGATACTTATGGTTTAGGAGACAGGAGACCAGAAGTTGACTGGAGCACACCAGATTTTCCACTTCCCGACCAGGACCAATCACAGGCTACATATACTATGCAAGGCCATATTCAAGAATAGATGGTGTACGACGCCATTTACGATGACCTTCTTGCCCTGGTTTTTCAGCAAACGCCTTTAACACATGGAACTCTGCACTTTCGAAGCTTTGAGGAGTCTCAAAACAAGTTTCCTGGTGGGAATTATTAGCTAGTGCTGTACTCAAAATATCGAAACTTGGAGATCTCTCCAGAGCTGAAAAGGTGGTATTCCTGAAACAAGATCAGGGCAAGAAGGTCATCGTAAATGGCGTCGTACACCCCATAACTGTTCTTGAATACTTGAGGCAGCCAGTTATACCCCAGACTGACTGATGGACAGTGCCATAGTGTTACCACAAATAAACTAAAATCGCAACAGTGTAAGAAGAGCTCTGCCACTTACAATAACTATCATTACCACTAAAACATTGATGGTTTTAACAGAACATATTATTAGTTCCAGTTAGTAAGATAATATCAACCTTATGATAACTGGTACACGTACACGGAGACAGTATACACGAGAGACAGTGTACACGAGAGCAGTGTATACGAGAGTAATTCATTTCGTGGCTCTAATAATGACTGTTATTTATCCTAATTATTATCAGTTTTATCTTTTGTCTCTTTTATTGAATTATTTGTTTCTTCACTGTTGTCCGCATCTCTTATGGATAGAGCTGTAGCTGTGTGGTCGTGACCAGAGAACGATAGAGACATGAACTGACGGTCTACCAACCTTTCACTGTGTGTGTGTGTGTGTGTGCGTGCGTGTGTGGGAGACAATTGGGCGCCGGTGAGGCTGACGCAAGGTCAGCATTGACCTACTATCCCTGCACTGAAGTGGGTTGTTTCTAATATGATTTAAATAATTAGTATGATGAGTCAGTGTCTATAGAGTGTTGGAATACAATCTAATATGCTATAGGACTAGGCGTATGTGTGTGTGTGTGTGTCTGTTCTGGGCAGCCGAATCTAATATACTATAGGACTAGCCGTGTGTCTGTTCTCTGTCTGTCTGTCTCTGTGTGTCTGTGTCTGTTCTGGGCAGCGAAACGGCACAATCGTTTTTCATCAAACTTGGTGGAAAAAATCGCAAAAAATTGTAGAGTGGAACAAACCTGGTCCCATGTCGATGGTTTCTTTAGGAAGGCATTAATGAACCATTTTATTTATGCTGGAAAACGCTGTTGCTGTACACTGTCAGCCGGCCGGCGGTTGCACGCTACTAGCACCACGAGCGTTCGAACTTTCAGGCTGGTAGCTGTACCACGGACTCGCCACCGGGCAGAGGGCCCACGATCACTGTATTACACTATACAGTACCACTGTCTCTCCTATACACTGTCTCTCATGTACACTTATCTCCTACACACTATCTCTCCTGTACGTCATTCATGTACACTGTTTCTCATGTAGACAGTCTCTCTGTACACTGTCTCTCATGTACACTCTCTCTCCTGCACTGTCTCTCATGTACACTGTTTCTCCTGTACACTGTCTCTCCCATACACCGTTCTCTCCCGTGCACTGTCTCTCATGTACACTGTCTCTCATGTACACTGTCTCTCATGTACAATGTCTCTCCTGTACACTGTCTCTCATGTACAATGTCTCTCCCTGTACACTGTCTCTCCCTGTACACTGTCTCTCTTGTACACTGTCTCTCCTGTACACTGTCTCTCCCGTGCACTGTCTCTCATGTACACTGTTTCTCATGTACACTGTCTCTCCCGTACACTGTCTCTCATGTAAACTGTCTCTCCTGTACACTGTTTCTCCTATACACGGTCTCTCCCGTACACTGTCTCTCGTGTACACTGTCTCTCGTGCATTATCTCTCTACACTGTCTCTTGTGTACACTGGCTCTCTTGTACACTGATTCTCGTGTACAGTCTTTCTTATACTTTCTCTCGTGTACACTGTCTCTCGTCTACATTGTCTCTCGTGTACACCGTCTCTCGTGTACACTGTCTCTCGTGTACACTGTCTCGATGTCCTGTCTCTCGTTTACTGTCTCTCGTCTACATTGTCTCTCGTGTACACTTCTCTCGTGTACACTGCCTCTCGTGTACCTGTATCTTGTGTACACTATCTCTCGTGTACACCATCTCTCGTGTCCATCTCTCTGTACACCATCTTCTGGTACACTTCTCTCGTGTACATTGCCTCTCGTGTACACTTCTCTCTTATTACACTGTTTCTCGTGTACCTCTCACGTCATTATGTCTCTCGTGTACACTGTCTCTTGTGTACACTGTTTCTCCTTAAACTGTTTCCCATGTATACATTTTCTAATGTAAACACTAATCATCACTGTATCTCATGTACACTATTTCTCGTGTATAGTGTCTCGTGTGCACTTCTTCTTATGTACACTGTCTCATGTACTGTTCCTCGTGCTAATTGTACACTGTCTCTCGTGTACAGTATCTCTCATGTACATTGATTCTCGTGTTTACTGTCTCTCTTGTACTGTCTCTCGTGTACACTGTCTCTCATGTATGTTGTCTCCCGTGTACACTGTCTATCATGTACACTGTTTCTTGTGTACATTATCTCTCAGGTGCACTATCTCTCAGACACATTGTCTCTCATGAACACTGTCTCTTATGTACACTGTCTATTGAGTTCACTGTCTCATATGCATCGTTTCTCGTGGACTGATGAAGCCGCCAGCCTGTTTGGTGACAAGGTGTATGCTGGTAAAGTTACCTCACCAATAAGGCACTCACCCTCCTGCAAGTGAAGAGAAGGTATCAGGTTGGGTGCTTATGTCCCACAAATGCTGCCATGTTCGACAAAAATAACAGGTGAGATGGTGTGGAAATCACAAAACAGTGAGGATCAGGAGGAGCCGGACTGGGTGCTAAGAGGTGGAGAGTCATCCTCAGCTGTAACGAGGACTCAGTCGCCATGGCAATGTATCGTTAGCCCTATCCATGCTCCAACATACACTGAGTTATGAAATCACCAGGTCAAATAGGTAGCATATGCTGATGACCTCACCCGAGCAGGAAAGTGGAGGTAACATCATGTGGTCCACAAATAAGGTATCATCAAAATGCCAGTAAACTTCTTCAATCGTAAAACACAATACTTCGACCGGGCTATAAGAGATCTTCATTGGTAGTGAGGTCAAAATAGCAAAAGGAAGATGAAAGGACACTTTGGTGCCTTAATCAACACTAATGATTTCAAGAACGAGTGTGTAAAATGGAAGGTACACGAGTGGAAGAAGGAAATCAGGCTTTGTTAGAAATAGCTAAAACTGAGCCCATGTGTCATATGCAGCATTCACCCTCAGGTCATATATCAATGAAACTACCAGATGTACAAATCCTGAGATAGGACCTCTCCTTCAGTCTCTAGAAGATTTCACCAGGACTTTTATTCCAGCGTTAGTGAAAAACCCGCTTACTCCTGCAGAAAGGTCACTCCTTGCACTACCACCAGAAACAAGGAGGAATGGGAATCACTAACCCTACAGGTTGCTGCCACTGGACATCAGAATTCCGTCAAACGCGCAGCAACCCTCACTGGGCATACAGTAGCTCAAAAGGCTACAAGTGACGTGGAGCACCAGCGAACTGAAGCCAAATCCGACGTTCAATTACAACAGAACAGCAGCACACCCAAATCATAAAATTCAACAATTGGCAACAACTGTCAGAGATCTTGAAGAGAAAAGTAGAAGATAGCACAGGAGGTGGGCGCTTCAAAGTGACTACACTTTACCGATAAGAGCAAGGGCTACAGCCATAAAAAAAAATCACAGTCGCCATTGTCCCGACGTACGGATGGCTAGTGGAAGGCTTGCCCACCTATTACATATGTGGAATTTCCTTCAACATCGACCATGCCAAGGTGTGCAAGAAGGGGTTCGTTTGCATACGGCATGATTAAGCAAGGGACCTCACAGAAAATATATTGAAGGATATATGCCACAAATCACTGTGGAACCGACTCTGCTCTACTGGATGGAGAGCGTTTCCTTCACCAGACTGCCAACGCAACTAACGAAGGCATGTGTGGACATCAGCGTTCAGGATTCTGGACAAGGGGACAGTGTGTGTTATCGCCGCTGGCTTCAGCTGATGATGGCGTGTGTTGCCATTAAATCTGTCGACCTGTGATCTCGCCAGATGTAGAAGTGTTTACAGACAAGTCCTGGTTATGCTGAGTGGACTGTCTTCGGCTGATGGCGGTGCTGCCCGCCCGCCATGACGGAGATCGCCCTCTAGTGATGCTGTGAAGACCAGCCCTCTGCTCGCACTGGTGAACACCGACTCACAATCCTGTCGAGAATTTGTGCTGGGACAATTTACAGTACTGTTGTCTCTTGGAACATCATACTGATCTGCATTGACCCGCACTTGTAAGTACAGCCTAAGTGATGACATACCTCGGTACTGAAATATTGTTGACTAATTACGCCTACTCATTTCTGCCTAACCTGGAGTAATAAGACAATGCGGAATGAAGCGTAGCTAAGATTAATAAAGTTATGAACTTTGTGTTATGTCACTATGTTTAATAAATTGTAATTTAGATAAAATTGTGAGACTAACTAATTATGCATGTGATAGATCACCATGTAATATTATGAACGCCTTTCCTTCTGCAGGTTTTGACCACATCATTAAATATTGAATGCGTCAAAAGGCGGGTTTAATCATTCTTCGACTTGCCCGTCACCTGAACGTCCTTAACCAAGGCGTTTACAGTGACTCTTGATATCTAGATATTCGAGCCCTGGCCATAAGTCATCGTAACCTGTCTCGAAGAGTTACACAGGAGGATTGAGAACGAAAAGAACAGAGCATAAGCCCCCCAAAAATCTAGAACGTAGACCAAGGCAGCTTCAGTCCTCTGGTGTACACAATATTAGGCGGATGAAACCTATGCCAGAATGGCGGAGGTGTTATAAGAACAGAAGCAGTAGGCTAGAAATTACGTCGTGGCCTGGTTGAAGTGTCGCCTGCCCTTCTTTGTTCATGTCTGTTCTGCTGTCTCTCAGAGGAGCAAGATCTTCGGTCCCTAACCCCACATCTGTCGCAGACATTAACTATGAGGCAACAGTCACGGAATGCCGCTTAAATATGCAACTTAACTAACTCAGCTACGGTAGTTATTTTTGTATTAGGGTAGTCAGGTAATAGAATGGCGGAGAAGGTATGGTTACAGGGAGGTTGGAACCTATTTAAAGCAATAAAAATAAGAATAGTAATATGTAGAAGTGCTAGTAGTAGCAGCAGCATTGCTCTAAGGTGTGGTAGGCCAGTAGTGTGGCCCACTCGATGCGTGTGTGGCTCATCCTACGACATCGACCACATCGGTGGTGCAAGAAGGGTGGCTTTGTATGTGTGGGGCTTGACGAAGTAAGGACCTTACAGCGAATATACTGAAGGATTTCTGCCATGACCTTCCTCCACTGGAAAGCAAGAATCTCCATCACCGGACTTCCAACAAAACCCTTATGGATATTAGTGCTCGAGGATTCTGGACGTGGTGACACCGAACCGTCTTTGATATCAGAGGAGCTTGTTGCCACCGAACATCAGAACTCAGTCAAGCTCACGGCAGCCCTCACTGGGCACATAATAGCTCAGAATGCAACAAGTGAGGTGATACCAACGAATTAAACAAGATTCGACGGTCCATTACGACAGATCGACAGCACAGACAAAGTGATAAACTGCAGCAACTGATGCTGCAATTGTCGAAGAGAAGAAAAAAGTAGCTATAGCGCGAGACTTCCAACACATCTAACGAAGCCCGTGTGGACGTCAGCGCTCGAGGGTTGTGGACGCTGGAACAGAGAGCCTTCTTTAATGTCAGGATATTCGACCCCATGGCTGCATGTCACAGTAACTTGTCCTTGTGGGTGCACACAGGAGGAACGAGAACAACAAGATTAGGACGTATTCGGAGAGAATTCAGAATGTAGATCAGGGCAGCTTTACACCTCTGTTGTTCACAACCTCTGTCGGGATGGGATCAGTGCAAGAGGCTTCTACACAGCACTGACGGAGGTGTTGTCTGAGCAAGCAGCAGCCCAGAAGCCATGTTGCAGCCTGGTTGAGATGTCGACTGTCCTTCTCTTTGTTCAGGTCCTGCAGTGCTTTGCCTCAGGGGAACGGTTGTGGCTTAACTAACACAGCTAGGGTAACTACTTTTGTATTAGGATATTTAATTTTAAGACAATAAAATGGCGGCAAGGTGTTGCTATTGGGAGGCTGGAGGCCACGTTAAAAAAGTAGTAGTAGTAGTAGTAGTAGTAAAATAGGAGTAGTAAGTGATGGTAAGAGTCTCTCTCTCTCTCTCTCTCTCTCTCTCTCTCTCTCTCTCTCTCTCTCTCTCTCTCCTCTCTCTCTCTCTCTCACCGTCGATGAAGACACCCATCACAGCAGGGTTGCCAACTGCGCCATTAAATGAGATTCAGTGTATAAAGAGGGAAGGAAAATTTGCCATCATAATGACATTAATGATGGTGCTGGCCAGGAAGGTTGGTACCCTGTATAGTGGTGGCTGGGAGGGTTGGTAGCCCTGTATTGTGATGGCAAGGAGGGTTGGTATCCCTGTATAGTGGTGGCCGGGAGGGTTGGTACACCTTTACGATGATGAGTATGGAGGTTGATACCCTTATATAGTGGTGGTCGGGAAGGTTGGTACTCCTGTAAGGGGATGGTAAAGAGGGTTGTGGCATTTGTGGGGTAAATTTTGTTATCTTTTATGTAACAATGAGTGCCATGTTGGTATCCCTGTTGGGTACAAGTCTGGCGCTAATAGTGAAACCAGAGAAAAACAGATATGTAAATCAATATCCAGCCACTATTGTGTGTTCCTTTCTCGTTCATTTATTTATTTCTTTTGTACAGATTCACCACAACAATACGTTATCAACTTTCTAATTATAAATCTATCATTAATACAGTTACGTGTTCCTTCCTCTGGTGAGCAAAATATATTATGAAAGTATATTTGATCCTTCAGATTAATTTAGATTATAAAATTAACATTACATTATCATTACCAATAATAATAGTTTAAGTAGTGAGTTTAATACATATAAATTACCATTATCTCCTCGCTGCATGTGATCGGCCCACAGCGGCACATAAACGTGCCAGCGTGCTGAAGACCTCAACAATACTGCAGAAAGATGTTTGCTTGACGCATTTAGTCTTATGATACAGTATATGCAATTATTTAAATTGTCCTTTTATAGTCATAAATAACTGTCCACTGATCCGGAAAGGTTTTACGGCACAGGTTTTGTGAAAAACAATAAACAAAATTGAATGGTTCCAGGAATATTATTTTTAATAGCTCAGGATTGACACAACTGTAATTAGGATAAAACAATCTCGTTCATCTATGTTGTAACATTAATAATGGGAATTTAATGTCAAAGTCACATTAAAACATTAATCATTGCTCTTTTTATTCTGCAACATATTTTGAGAGTAGTGTTTGTGTATTTCATGATAATAACATTATGAACTGCAATGTGTTGTGATGGCGGAGAGAGGACAGCGGTGGAGAGCGAACGAAAGGAATATAAATGAATATATAGAGATATGGAGAAAGAAATACTGTGTAAACGTGAGAGAATATATATATATATATATATATATATATATATATATATATATATATATATATATATATATATATATATATATATATATATATATATATTTCAACACACCACTAAAGCACCACCACATACAGTAACGCGAAAAAATAATGGTGAATCAATCTTAATTACTCTCGTCTTCCTCACCATAACAAACAAGGTTTATAAATGTTATTACTCGACAAACTCTAATTTAAATGCGTATAAACAAATACACACAGAGCAGGTGATCAAGGCGAGGTTAATAACCTCTACCTGGGTATGTATACACAACTAAAATATAAACGAAGTGAGTCACCAAAGACCTGAGTCCTTGTTATCTATTAGACTCAACAAAATAAGTGGATGGTCTTGTATTCTGATTCCTTTACACAATGATCAGACGAAGGATCAGCGAAGCGTGATTATAAAATGGACAAAATTCAATTCTCTCACCGTCACAAAATCAATTTCAGCCGCTGGCAGTTCTTGCAGTTGCTTTCTGAGGTTGAGCTAATATAAGGCTGTAATATCTGGCCTTAAGGTTCTTTCTCAGTATATTGTGGTGGTAACTACACTAGTTGAAATATTATATACATCTTTTATATCGGGGAGAGAGAGAGAGACAGAGAGAGAGGGGGGAGGGTAAATGTTCCTAACCAAATACAATAAGTTCTGGCCATAATAACATCACAGTGACATATATATATATATATATATATATATATATATATATATATATATATATATATATATATATATATATATATATATATATATATATATATATATATGTGTGTGTGTGTGTATATATAATAATAATGGTTGCCCCTCGTGTAACAAGGACCTGTGGTGTAATGGTCAGCATCCTCGCTGGGCAAGTGAAATATGGGCAAGTTTCTTAGTCATTTGCCTCTGTCTTCCCAGCGTTAATGGAACCTGGATGTTAATCGATTTGCGGATCATATACCGGGGTAATGGTTAGCCAGTGAGTTGTCCAGTCTTCTCGGACTATTCCGTGACAC